AACTGTTTTGTGTTCTGCAGCGTCAGCGCCGCCAGGGCCTAGCGGTCGAAGACACGACCCCTATGCGAATGCGTATCCACAATCCTACGAAATGAGACCACCACAAAAGGTACTATTATTATTGTAATTTGATTTTACTTGTTCCATACAAAATATTTAACTAAGCAAGATCTCATTGCTTTCATGTACAAAACGTAAAGCAAAAAATGAAAGTTTTATTGTCAAAACAGGTCTGACAGTACGAGCAATGCCCATCAGGGGTTGTAGAAGAGTGTGTGGGCGGGGCCGGGGGCGGGGGAGTTGTGGGCGGGGCAAGCACGGCAGTGGGCGGGGGCGGGGCTCAGCTGGAGCTGGTGGCGCTGGCTCCGGGCGTGCCGCTGCTGCTGGGCTACGTGTACCGCGCTCCTGACCACAAAGTGACTGTGGCCTCGCAGACCACCATCACGCTGCACTCGCCCGAGACCCTGCAGGTCACAAACCCGCAACGCTCACAAACTGACATATGAAACTCGGTACATATGGACGGCGACTAATAAACTATTGTACGTTTTTTTTTTAAATAATTTAAAGTGTTGTGTAGTTGTGTCAGTTTGTATGTATTGTGCTAGTCAGTTGAATTGCATTTAAAAATCTTCCTACTACTAATAAAAAGTTGACACATCATAAAATCTCCGGGACTCTATAATAGTAATATATGTATTACTTATTTTTTAAGTAAACAGATCTCTAAAAAATGTGATTTGTGTTACAAGAGCTAATAAAACAATCATTATAGTCAAATCTAGATAAACGAGAACCCAAAGTATCCCGAGGTCGTACGTTAGAACCAGACAATGACTCTCACAGGTTTCTCGCTTATCCTGGTTCGACTGTACGACTGACACAACTCGCAATTTTATTTCAATATGTAGATATTAATTTTGTCTGTAGTTTCGTATAGTATTTCTTAAATCTGTTCATTTTAGCATGATATATGTAAGATAAAGAAATATTGTCTAAAATATATTTTTAAGAAAAATATTATATGACGCTTATTACTAAGGAACAATTGCTCTATTTTAACTTGTAATATACTCGTCTTTCTTTTTCCTTTTACATTTTTATTCTGTTTCTAGTTTTATCTGTGTGCTTTATTATTTAAAATATTTTGTTTATAAATATCTACATTTCGTTTATAATGAAGAATTTGTTCGGTTTCAGTTTAAAATAACTGTGTTATCAGTATCAAAATACTTTTAAAATAATTGTTATAACACTTACCGTGGGTTTCTAAGACCAATATCCCCGTCTAAAACATATTATTCTCTGTTTTGTTTAAGATAATGACAGGGATGATATGTTTTATACGGTGTTTTTGGTCTCAGAAAGCCACAGTTATTCTGTTCGAAAGAACAAAGGATGACAACATTAAAAGTGTTTCGCTATTGGAAAATGACTGTAATATGTTTTATATGTCAATGCAAAGATGTGTTTGTTTTCGTCGCCGGCCATCTTTATCGAGTTTAGATATTTTTAATGCAAGAAAGTGTAACGTATTTACGTGAAGGTAATTATAAAAATTACGAATGGACCTGAAATATCACAAGTACTATATAATTGCAATAATTATTCTCTTTAGTTTAATATTCTATAAGTTAATATGTTGCTCAAGAAAAATTTAAAAAATATACGAGTTTGGTTTCATTGTCGATACTTCAGAGTCGCTGAATATTTCGTTGGTTCCGACGTAAATAACGATAATTCATAATTCAACCTCTATGTGTGTTAATTTAATGCAAAAAATTGTAGACTTTTTTGTCCATTGTAAATTTTAACTTTCCTTTTATATAAAGTACAGTCAGCTGCATAAATATGTGTATATTTACTAAATTTCAGAAACTTGTATACTTAACTTTCGGTTTAATATATATATACTCGTATTAATTATTAGCATGTATACATTGTTGAACACATAAGCACGGATATGTGTATACATATTTTTGAAACCGAAGATGTAAACAAAGTTTCTGTAGCGTAGTAAATGTAAACATATTTATGCAGCTGACTGTACATACATTTACTACATACGTAGGAATCATCGGTTTATTTGAGATTTTTAAAAAGTATCTTCGGTTAGACAAATGACTCGGAGATAGGTTCACAACCTGTCACGTTGAACCACAAGCTGTCATGGATGTGGGTACAGACGATTTTATCTGTCACTTCAACTTCATGCCCACTTCGTAAGAGTTTTAAATTTCAATTATTATCTGAGTTTAAACATTCTCAACAAAATGATTATTTTTATAAAACCGGAATAATGTGATTGTATTATTTTCAACGGGTGACACTAAAGTACTACAAAACGACACATTTATGTATATTTTTGTATATAAATGAAGGAGATTATACAAAGGCTTGTAAAAATATCAGTCGAGTATTCATTATAAGGAAAAGTTCGATTTGAATCTCTGTAAGTGTAATTTTTATATAAAGTTATTTTTAATATATTTAATGTAAATGTAAGTGGAGAGTTGTGGTGCCATGAAAACAATTTGATTCTGTATCCTTCGTAACTCAATTATTTTACTCGACTATCATTCCTATAGCATGTTAACTCGAAAACTCACTGCCAGGGAGGAATCAGCTTTGGGACTTTCGCTATTTTTTTTATTAAAACGTATTATTTTATCGTATTAATACATATTAGGATAATTGTAATTATAATCAATGAAGGACTCAAAACGTTTCTCCCTTAGATTGGCGGACAATGTTAGTCTTCCTATGGCAAAATTATTATTAAAATTTGTACTCGTTTAATTTAATTTGTAGTTGTAATGTAGAAATTGAACAGTATTGCCAAATGATCAAAATGTTATTAGACTGAGAATTCTGTCTCAATGAGAGATGTTTGCATTTTTGTTTGAGAGAGGACACGCATCAAAATTTATTAAAATATTATTTATCGATATAATTTAGATTCCCTGAACTCACAAAATGTTTCAACAAAATTTATATTTTATTTATTTCTTATATTTTCCCAATATTGTGTCAAAATTACATTTTTTGTTGTGGTTTTTAGGTTATAATGTCAACTCTTATGTTATGGCGGCAAATTTACGTCATAACGGTTTCACGTTGTGACGCGATTTTGTGTTGAACTGTTTTGATGTGTGTCATCTCTAATTGATTAGCGCGTTGCGCGTCGCGGTGGCTCAAATTATTATTATAAAAATTTAATTTCGGTGCATACAAAATTGCATATCACATTCGTTTTACTTTAAATGTCCGAAGTAATTACTAATTAACGAAAACCGTTGTACATTTCAGTTCAATTGATCTCTAGTAGATAATATTATTTTTAATTTCAAATGATTTATTATATTATCCCGTTTGTTCTAACATGAGATTTAGTGGTCACAAAAAAGGTGCTTATTTGGCAATAAATAGAGACGCGTAAAATATAAAAATGTACACGACAAGGTATTTGCAAACAGATCATTTTTATTGTCACAATGTTATGGATAGTTTTTCCTTGTGTAATTTTTTTTGTAAACCATTGATTTAATTATTTAAACGTTATTAAATATAGGTACGAAAAATCTATACTACTTTGAATATTGTTTAGTTGATATAAATCTCATGTTAGAGCGAACAGGTCGTGCGTAGAATAACTCCGTCGTGCAAGCCAAAGAGCATGATGTATTTTTTTGATTTTTTTCTATACATTAATATTAAGGTACAGTCTTAGTATACCAATATTGCCATTTAATTAGTGAATGTCGACGACACACGCAATGTTCAGTAAGTGTATAAAAGTTGTATATTTGTATGTAAGCGAGAAGTGATGTTTCCGACGTAGCGTGACTCGACCAAACGTTAAGATGGCTTATATTTTGTCCATCAAGTAGTACTCAATGGCATTATTTCTCCTAATCGTAAGCTAGACTACAGTTATAGATTATTTAATTGACAATGTGAATATTTTTAATTAACAAGATGAATGTTACAACATGTGATTTCAAAATAACAAAAAAATACAATAAATTTTACATGATAATATGTTGGATTTTATTTTTTCCAAGTTGTCACGATCAGGACTGATCAGGAAGCGTCCGCGCTGATAGCAACAAGTTATTCTATGACCAGAGTTACTCTGTTGTATTCGTACCAATCTCTACAGGAAAAGATTCTCACTCAGTAGAATCGAGAAATGTTTTAGCATCTCGTCAAATAGATTATCTCTAGGTTTGTCCCAGGTGTGAGTTTTGATGAGGGTCATAACCATTATGTAGCCACAAAGCTCTCTACTAATGTCCGGGATGACTTCACCGGATTAAGAGCGATTTCATGTTATCTATGTGCTTCTGCGTTCTAATCATTTGGGATGTTGAATAAAACTATGTGTTATGACGTAATATTTATTTAATATAGATAAAGGTACAATATTTGGGTGACCTATAAATAAAAAATATACAAAAAATTGTAACAAAAACATTTTCGAGTCCTATACGACTTCTAGCAAAAATGAACATAAAATAAACAAAAAATACTAGGGAAGATTTAACACGGATTTATTTAGTCATGACGTCAATAATTTCTCTAAAATTGCCAGTTTACTTGCATAAAACTTAACATGTCTTAAATTGCATTAGAAATCGGATACTGTGAAATATAACTTATCCAATTGTCTACGCTCTAATTAATATGTTATTAAATATCTAATAGCCTTAATATTAATACGTAAATTATTAATTGAAATCTAACGCAATTATACTTAAAAGCCTATAAAATAAAATGCGGATGAAACATGTTCGAACTCTAACGTAGATGTAATCTAAATACTTGCATACTAATTCTATGACAATACACATTGATATCAATTAAATAGCCGTGATAAAAATAAAACACGCCGTGTGAGGAATTTTCAAACAGTCTCATTAAACCTAATGTTCTCTTTCTATGGAATCAAACGTCTGGTTACTAATTCTTACTTAATAAACTCATTGTCATCCTATTTCTATTGGAAATAATAATGGAAAATTATCGTGAATACCTACATAATACTTTATCTAAACTCCTCAAACATTGTCTTTCTTTAGTCGACATTAAAATTACGAATGCAATAACATTTGTTCTTGCTTATAAACTTCATGATAAGCATTACGTATTAACACATACGGGAAACAGGATTCGAGTAAATCCATTGTGAGGAATGGCGATTCTTGAACAATTAGGTCTAACAATAAATAGACCGACTCCCGGTTTCTTATTGCTTCCTTTTCGGTCTCCTGTCCGAGGCGAAGTAAAGACGAGGACGCGAGAGCTAAGAATTCCTTCATTCTATCTTCTATGTCGCCTTGTCCGCAAATTGTGAAAAGCGCGCCGAAAATGTGGTTAATAGCCGGTGCCATACAATGAATATTGTTTGCGTGCCCTTCCAATGAAGGTCGGTAAAAGGAGCCTTCGCTGCGAGCTAGTCTCGGAAGAGAGACCGCAACAAACACCATCAACAAACAAACTACCAAATGCTCCTCATCCTCTAGTTCGGCTTTGTGCTGCCTCAATGCCGAAGCTAGAGTAGGGTCCACCTTACAAGGCAGGCCCGCCGCAGAACACATCTCTGATATAACTCTTGGGTCACCGCTCGGCAGTTGCTGCTGGAAATCTTTAATCGAGCTAATTAAGAACGGTATTCGCCGCTCCAGTACATCGAGTAATGACTCTTGAGCAATTTGACGGAAGCTCAGAATAACACCAATTATCGTCATCCTTTGTAACACATTGTCCACATGTTGCAGCCTCTTAAATTGTTCCCTCATTATTTCGGGTTTATCAAAGTTTGTTCTAAGCATTTGGAGAACTTCTTTGTTTTGTACAACCAATTTCTTTAACTCTTGAACTTGACTTGCAATGTGCCACATCAGTGTTTCACTCAACAACTTCATGCCATAAGGCCCAATAAGCTCAGCTAAAGATCTTAGCTCATTAATATCGGAATATTCTTCAGCATTGAAAGGTATGGCACCTTCAGCTGAAAGGCTGACAAATGCTTTCTGATTCATTGAAAAGCAAATACTTCCAGCGCTCACTCTTCTTAGTAAAATTTCAGAGTACCACTGAGTGTACAATGATGCTATAGTTTTTTCTCCATGGCTGTCCATATTCTGAGTTTGTTGTAAAAGACAATTATTAAAAACTCTTGTGATATCAATGTGTACGTAATTTTCAACAGTTTGTAGCACATTCATGTATGCTCTTACACTCACTAGCAACTCTGAAGGTTTGGCTATTTCACTTGTATCTTGATTGAACATTACCATTCCTACTAAAGCTTTGGAGAATCTGGTCTCCAAATGTTGATGTAAATATTCTCGAGGTGCAAATGTGTACTCCCAAACATTTACTTTTGAACAATAATTAATGGCAAAGCAAAGCTCAGTCAAAGCCATGTGCAATTTATCCATTGTAGTCAATTCTTCTCTAGTCTTCCTGTAACTTTCTGCACCCGGTTTCACTATTTCAATTGGATTCTTTTTGTTCTTATCCTTTTTCTTCCTATTTGCCAACTGGGCAATAGTTTGTGCGCAATGTTTTGGAAGCAACTTATCACTCATTGTGCATTGTTCATCACAGATTGTTGTTATTATGTTCTTGGCTTCTTTTGCCATTTCATCTAAGAAAATGTTGACAACAGAAAGACTTCGTTCTCTGATGTGATGCCTTTCTTCGGGGCATAATTCATGAGTGCAGTTTTGAAAGTGACTGCAAATCAGTGGGAAAGCAATTATGTATCGATTTTGAGCTGGAAACTCTAAACACATATGAAATTGACTTTCAAATATCTTACTATAAAAACAAAACAGAGACAAATCTGAAGTCTCAACCATAATCTCGTCTAAATTGTCGACCATCTTTGTATGAAAAACCATTTTGTCAATAAATTGTGCTAATTCTCTTTGGTCCACAAGATTAAGCGGAGTTTTAGCAACTGAAGTGTATGCTTGTAATCTAAACCAGTCAAGACGGAATGCACGGAAATCAAAGAGCTCATTGTCTTCAACTTGCTTTACACTCAAAGATGCTGCAGTGTTGCAGAGAGAAGAAAGAATAACACTCTCATCTTCTGGACAGACTTGCAAATTTTGCATCATTAGATTGAGAGCCACAGCATCAAAACCTGACAGATACTGTACATAATACCTTTGCATGACCTGACTGTACTTGCGTACCAGTGCTCTTAGCTCCTCCATGTGGAAGAGGAGCTCTGGAAGCTGACGGTCCACCAAATCTTCCGTAGCTTTGCCTTTGACTTTTTGGGGAGGATTATCATTGTGGCGCAATAGCCAAAATACTTCATCTCTTGCATAGCAGAGGCCAATGAAAATAAGCAAAGCTTTAGGGCCTAGAAGGCCAGGTTGGTCAGTCAAGATAAGACCTAACTCTTTCAGTGCAGTTCTCAAAAACTTTCGCCTCTCTCTGTGTTTATAACCTGCCCTTTGTACAGCATGGTGATAGCAATCTTTTACCTCTGAAATTCTCTTACCATATCCCTTTATGCCGTCAAAAAAGTTCTGAATGTATGAATGGATATAAATTACCTCATCTCTAAAGAGTGCCAAAACCCAACCAGATTCTAAAGCACTCACCCACATTTTGTTAGCATGCTCCTGTTGTAGCATATGATGACAGATTGCAAAGCCAAATATGACCCATCTCTCCAAAGATTCTAACGAAAGATATTCACATGACATTGTGTTTGTTTCAGATGGCTTCAGAAGTAAAGTTGGATTGCTTACAAGGCTTAATTTTTGCTCAGATCGCCAATGTTCCGCTGTTAAATTTCTAGCTGGATACACATGCCATAGAGAATTCAAAGCATTCAACAATACTTTTTGATGTGGCATAAATTCCTCTGAAAGTTTTTTCAAAGGTGCATCATAGTCCACAATTAATTGGCCAAGACGTGGAAAGCTTTGATCAATTTGGTTATGAACCATTTCATGAGCAGCATTGAAAAGGCCCAAAACTGCTTTCCGATCTTCAACTCTTGACAGTAAAACCATCAATGAAATGTAAGTTGTTACCAGGTCTAGATAGTTCTTTGTTAATTCAAAGTTTAGAGTCAGATCTAATGTAACTTGGCAAGCATCCATTATATTTAAAAGCTCACACACATTGTCTTTAAAATCTAGTAAATCAACAAATGTGTAGTAATACAATGAAAGAGATTTAATAATTTCATTCCTTATGTTGGATATAGCTTGTAATCCCTTCACATCAATATTGGGGAATCTTCTTACAATGTGTTTAATGGAAGACTCTAATGTCTTATCAGAAAGAAAAGCTGGTTTTGATTTAGCATCTCCACATGCTTTTTTAATATTATAAATTCTTGTTAGCATTCCAATACCACGATCATTTAGGATAATGAGTTTTTCAGCCAGCTTTTGCTGGCCGATGTTCAGGGATCTTGACATAGTAGACATTCTGCAACAAATAATGAATTTTGTTAATTGCCTGGATAACGTTAGTAAATAATTCGCGAGTTATTTATGTTTATAAAGGCCCTTGATGAACGCTTTTCGCTATTGGATAAACGGATGTTAAGTACGAGTAGCACACAACGATAATTATTTCCGACGATGAACATTATGATTCATTGAGCAGTGTAGTAAGACTACCTTACTATTGAATATTCAGTTTTACAGTGTTTTGCTACTACTTATAGTAAATCAAAAGAAATCATAAAGTAATATGAACAATGTTGCCGATGTAATATTTGACTCATACCTGTTTGGACACGGTTTAGACTGCAAATCTCACAAGGGAAACATGATATTGAACTTTTTACAGCCTCATATTTAAACCCATTAACTAAACTCGCTTAAAAAAACACACGACACTAGTAAATCAGGAAAAGGGAGTGCCTTATTTATCGAACGCGTACTTAGCAATCCTCCTCTTCGTTTATTGGCATTTGGCATTGGCATTTTCGTATTTGACATTTACACACTCGTTGACACTCATTCATACCAACCACAACCACCATCATCTCATAATCATCTCCATTTCCGTAAACAGAAACGTAAATACATATTTTTAAATTTACATGTATACATTTTAATAATAAAAATGATAAGTATCATTTACAGAGAAAGTTTTAAAATTGTTAAAGTTCTTCACAGTTCTTAAAGATACTATGTTTTACTCTATGTCTCCGTAAACACAATTCGACAAAACTCAATTTTACGTCAATTTTTTGGTTAAAAGTTATAAAGTTATTGATTAAATGTAAGTTTATACTAAAACTTCCTTTATATTAAGTAAATCTTTAAATAACTTTAAATTTGTATCTAAAAAGACGCAGTAAAAACAATTCACGATGCCGCGGATTATGATAAAAGGCGGTGTTTGGCGTAACACAGAGGTTTGTTAGCTAAATTTCTATTCTTTTCTGATCAAATTTTAAGTTTCCTATTTAAAACTAGTTCCTGAAGAGTCTTTATTCACAAACTTGGTTTTTAGGATGAAATTCTCAAGGCGGCTGTTATGAAATATGGAAAAAATCAATGGTCTCGAATAGCTTCCTTGTTGCATAGAAAATCGGCCAAACAATGCAAAGCTCGGTGGTACGAATGGTTAGATCCAAGTATAAAAAAGACAGAATGGTCAAGGGAAGAAGACGAAAAGCTTCTGCATTTGGCAAAGTTGATGCCAACTCAGTGGAGAACTATAGCACCTATTATTGGACGTACTGCTGCACAATGTTTGGAGAGATACGAATACTTACTGTAAGTGTACTCAATAATATAACTCAACATTCATTAAAAATTATAATGATCATTTTCAATCAAACTTCTTCTGAATACAATGTTTGAATATGTTATTTAATTATTTTTTAGAGACCAAGCACAGAAGAAAGAAGAAGGAGAGGACATGGGGGATGATCCACGAAAGTTGAAGCCTGGAGAAATTGATCCTAATCCTGAAACTAAACCAGCCAGACCTGACCCCAAGGATATGGATGAAGATGGTTATTTTTAAATTCTATAAACATGCAGTATATAAGTAAAGTGCATGTCTGCTGATTGTATCAACATGAATTGATCTAAATAAAATTGAGACTTAATCTTTAAAAAAAAACTGTTACGCCACCTAATATTATTTTTAAGCTAAGCTTTTTTAATTAATAATTTTAACTGGTGTATACTATAAATATAAATTTTATATTAATTAATGATAATGTTTTAGAGCTTGAAATGCTGTCAGAAGCTCGTGCACGTTTGGCTAACACACAAGGTAAGAAGGCCAAGAGGAAGGCTCGAGAGAAGCAGTTAGAAGAAGCAAGAAGACTTGCCGCACTGCAGAAGAGGAGAGAGCTCAGTGCTGCTGGTATCTCAGTGCCAATGAGGTAAGCCATTAAAAGCTATTTTTATATTTGTGTAAACCTGGCTGTGTTCAACCATTATACCTATGGTAGTCATGGCAACAGCCAATAGCCTAAGGTTAAGGGAATGGATTACCGATAACATGGTCGGGTGTTTGAATCCTGCCATTTAACTATTGTCATACACCATGTCTTAGAATTCATAGAGTTCAATTGGAATGGTACAAGATATATTAGTAAATTAAAAAAAAACTGCTCATATTTAAAAAAACGTTGTGCTTATTATTTCTTTCAATTACTATCAATGTACTTATCTCACATATAGGGTTGCCTCAACAGGCTTTTGTTCTCCTACAAAAATATTTAGATTTTATGAATTCTCTATGTAATGTAAATTAATATGTTAAATAGACGTAAGAAGAAGCGTGGAGTGAATTACAATTCAGAGATACCATTTGAGAAGAAACCTGCTGCGGGTTTCTATGATACATCCACTGAGGAGGTGGATCCCATGGCGCCGGACTTCTCTCGACTACGGCAACAGCATCTAGACGGGGAGTTACATTCAGAGAAGGAAGAGGTAATATCTTTGTTATATTAATATACTGAATATTTTTAATTTAATTATTTTTGTATATTTCATTTTTGTTTGAATTAGCAAAGAGTATTTATTGTACTATAATTTTGCTGTTTATAAATCTATTTCTTAACAGATTTTAAGTGGATTTTTTTCATAAATATTACTATTGAATGTTTTAAAAAAAAGTAATCTAATGTATGAGTGCAAAATGTAAAAAACATTGAATAGATAAATAATTCTTTAGTAATTATTGCGGTCTAAAATAATAATATTGATATTGTTTTTGTTTTACAGAAAGACCGTCGTAAGGACAAACAGAAGTTGAAGCAGCGCAAAGAGAACGACGTGCCGCAAGCCATGCTGCAAGGAGACCAGCCTGCACGCAAACGCAGCAAGCTGGTGCTGCCCGAGCCACAGGTTTCTGACCAGGTAACGGCCATAATAAAAACCCATTGAATAATAGATATAATAAAAAGTTGGTGATATTCTGCTACTTTATAATAAGGAAAAGAAGAAGAAATACGAGATTGGGACAGTAAATGTATTCAAAGACATCACATTAATCAAGTATTAATGTATTGCAGGAGCTGCAGCAAGTTGTGAAGCTGGGGCGTGCGTCGGAGGCGGCGCGTGAGTCCGCGGGGGCGGCGGGCGCGCCCACTGACGCCCTGCTCGCTGCATACGCCCTCACGCCCTCGCCAGCAACAGCATTGCGCACGCCCGCCAACCAGGATCGGTAACCGTCTTATTCTAATATATATGTCTATATTTTTTATTATAAATTACTTTAATATTAAATATTATAATGACTTTTTTGTAGGCACAAGATCAAGATTTAGCATAATTTAATTAATCATCATCTTCACATATGTGTTAGTTGTAGCTTCATATATTGTTCTAAATTCTAGCATCGTTTCAGTAACGTTTAGCTTGACTAATGATTATATTGTATGTTGCATAGAATCCTAATGGAGGCGCAGAACGTGATGGCGCTGACGCACGTTGACACGCCGTTAAAGGGCGGACTGAACACGCCGCTGCACGCACCTGACTTCTCCGGTGCGTTGCCGCAGCCGCACGCACAGGCCACGCCCAACACGCTCCTCGTCACGCCCTTCAGGTACATTCACGTCTTTAACATACAGATAGCTATAGATGCAGAAGATGAAACGATTGAATTGTTTCCAGATCGTCCCGTACTGAAGTTTCCACTCCGGGTAGCTTTAACACACCCGGTCAAGGACAGACAGGACAACCTGGAGTAACTGTGAGTAATCTTATATATTTTGAATGAGATGATTGAAGAAAAACTAAAAAGGATTTATGTTTGATTCGAAATGTTATGTTTTCAGACTCCAGCGCTAAGAGATAAGTTGAGCATCAACCCTGAAGACCGCATCGGTACTGGTGATACACCGCAAATGGCAAACCAAATACAAAAACAGGTAAGTAAAAACGCTGCTTAGTAATTTAGTTTTGGTAAACCAAATAAATATTAATTAAAATTAGCTAAATCTATAAAACTTTGGATTTGAATTTCATATTAGCACAATTATCGTAAAACTATGCGGCTGTCCAACTGTTGTATGGTTAAGCTAGAAAGGAATCGATGAAACTCTTAGAAAAGCCGTGTAAAAATTCAGGAATTCTTCTTCTTCTAGTGCCTCTTCAGTCTTGAAGGTTGAAGTTGACCTAGGAATTATTCATATAAGTGGTATTAAAATGTAGTAATATATGCAGTTGAAGGCGTCAGTACGGAATGCGCTGCAGTCTCTGCCGGCGCCTCGCAATGATTACGAGATCGTGGTGCCGGAGGAGGCGGCCGAGCCCGCGCAGCAAGCGCATCCGGAGCACCCCGGTCTCGCACTGGAGGACCAGGCTGATGCTGACGCCAGGGCACTTAGGGAACAGGAGGAGAAACGTACGAATACATATTATAAGTTTATTAAAAAAAATCTGGCAACTGTAACAAAACAGGAAGCTAAAATTAGAAAATTTGCTGTTTAGTTTTTTTTTGGTTACCTTTAGTCTTTAAGTGAGAAGGAAAGAGAAAGAAGAGAATGAGTAAATGCACTGTTTCAAATATACGGTGTTGTATTGTGCGGTGTGCGGCAGGTGCGGCGGCGCTGGCGTTGCGGTCTGCGGCGGTGCAGCGCGGCTGTGTGCGGCCGGGCGAGGTGAACGCGGCGGTGCTGCGCGGCGCGGCGGCGGGCGGCGGTCAGCTCAGCTCGCTGCAGCACGCCGAGGAGCTGCTCAAGGCTGAGATGCTCACCATGCTGCACTACGACGCTCTGCATGACCCTCCGCCAAGTATACCGCATTACAATACACATCCTTTTTTTCATATTACTAAACTTGCAAATTCGAAAATATTACTGACGAAACACTTTCTTACCTAGCTATATAACATTACTTACCTTAATTTTACTATATCAATTCGTTTTGTCTCAAAAATATCTCAAAATAACTGTATTAGCAATAACGTAATGGCCGTCATTTTTTAAATTTGGCTTTCCCCTGGTTACTTATTTCGGTGTTCGACCGAAAGGAGGTTAAGGGGCCGTTCCACTAACAGTGACGTCATAAGTAATCAAAGTATTGTTTGCAGGTGTAGACAAGAAGCGCGTGGTGCAAGCGCAGGCGTCGCACCTGGCGTACCTGGAGCAGCATCCGTACGAGGAGTTCAGTGCGGGGGAGCTGGACGCGGCGCGCGCGCTGCTGCGCCAGGAGATGGAGGTGGTGCGCCAGGGTATGGGACACGGAGATCTCGGCATTGACGCCTACACACAGGTCTGGGAGGAGTGTCTCGCACAGGTAACTAACATTACTATATTACTTTGTACCGATTTCGCGTTTGAAAACAGACATGGCGCTACGGGTGAAAATAGGATTTAATAATCGCAGTTATTTTGTTATTTTACTGGTTACAAATTAAAATTTGTTCGTCAGAGAGAGAGAGAGGAAAGCATTACTTGAGAGACAGAAGCAAAAACTGTTTTTTTAGAAGAGTGAAAAGTTAAAAATATTTGTAAATGATTAGGTATATTTTTAACACACGCAATTTTAACAATTTCTAAATTTTTCAGGTACTCTTCCTACCCGGCCAGAACAGGTACACACGTGCCAGTCTAGCCAGTAAGAAAGATAGGCTGGAATCAGCTGAAAAAAGACTGGAACAGAACAGAAATCACATGGCAAAGGAGGCGAAGAAATGTTCCAAAATGGAGAAAAAGCTACGAGTATTGACAGGTAACGGTTACTTTATATTACTGTTAAAAAAGTTACGTATAATGTATTTCGGGAAATGTAAACTGTCCTAAAGAATGTTTTCTTCTTTAAGAAAACAGCGACAATTTTTTTTTTCATTATACAAATTGCTGAAGTCGAATCCGTTACAATGTTTTTATACTGATTTCTTCAGCGGAATCGGTTACTAGTTTATTATTTGCAGGTGGATACCAGAGCCGTGCGGCCTCGCTCATCAAGCAGTTCGGTGAGCTGCAGGAGCAGATCGAGCAGGCCAACCTCGAGCTCTCCACCTTCCGCTTCCTCGCTGAGCAGGAGAAGGCTGCCATACCCAGGAGGATAGAGGTAACTATTTACCATTGGTCGCTAGTTACTCGAAATTTTGTCATCTTACTTATAAAAGCAAAAAGATGGATGGATGGATGTTTGTTAGAAGGTATCTCCGGAACGGCTAAACGGATCTGCATGTAATTTGGCACATATGTACAATATAGTCTAGAAGAAAATAGTCTACATATCATTTTATAAATTTGCACAGGGCGACAGCTTGGCGTAAAAAAAAGGTTTATGCACTTTTTTCCACAATAAATTTAAGCGTGTCAAATTTCATATAGATCCAATGGCATAAAATTATAATATTTGCTCGATTTGCTTAAAAAATGTTAATTAAAATGTTATCTTGTTTACAGTCACTAACTGAGGACGTGAACCGGCAAACGGACCGCGAGAAACAACTGCAGAAGAGATACGCGGAACTCCAGGCAGAACTAGAAGACATTCACAAAGGCAAACAGATAGTAGAGACTGAACCTAAGCCTATTGAAGAATAGTAGTATAAAATTATTTCTAATTATATCCATCTCTGCCTACCCCTTCGGGTTACCCGCTCTATTATTACCGTAGGTTTCCACTGGAGAATAATCTGCACATAGACATTGTTTTTTCATTAAAAATGAGGTTAACTATGTTTTGGTGCAGGTATCTTGCCAGTGGAAACCCACGGTTATTTTTATTGTATAGAAGTTTTTCAATATCTTAGTATTTGTTAATAAACGATTTACGATGATTATATTGTATTTTAAATAGCTTACTGATAATTTCTTGCTAAGTTATCAACAGTACACAAAAATTAGAGTAAGAAAATAAATAATAAAATTCCTTTTTTTCTTATCAACTCAAAATCTATCTAGATTGATTCAACCCTAACTTTTAGCCTTACTCTGTTGACTGCCTAATTAAGTAGAATTTTGCCTAACGGGGTTGATTTCTAGCCTAATTAGGTTGAATTTAGCCTAATTAGGTTGAATTTAGCCTAACTAGGTTAGAGAGTTAACGTTAAATAATTGTAAGAAAGTACATTGGATTTTTAATGAATGTAACATGAATTTTGCGCAACAAAAATAAACGAAAGCAATATAATAAATGCGATATTTATAATAAAGGTGCGTGTTTTTTAGAATTTCTGTATACTTCAAAAGTTCGCTGGCTTTGTGACTTTATATAATATATAAGATAAATAAAAGACAGTAATAACTTGTTTTATTTTTTATATTTCTTACATGATTTAAAAGGATATTTTCTAGAAAACAATGTGGCTATTTATATAAGTCTATGTTTACTGAGCGGGAAACTGCGTGCGACTCATTTTGCATAACAGCGGTGAGCGCGCCAGTGGAAATAGAAAATGAGACTCTGGTGAGTGAAAATGTTGCACCAGCTACCCGCATATTGGAAATTGGGTTAAACCTACATGTTTCACATTCAATAAGCAATAATTCACTAACCGTGGATTTCCGAGACCAAAATCTCCAAAACATATTGTTATCTCTGTTTCGTCAAAGATGAAAGACAGGGATGGCGATATGTATAGAGATTTTGGTCTACACAATAAAATGCAATCTTTATCCATATCTCATTGAATTTATAAACATTTTATATATGTAACGACTAACATATTAAGAAATGTTGGAAATATCTATCGAATATCAGACATTTATAGCGACAATATCTTATAACAAAATGCAATATCACAGATATTCCATCCATTTGGATATTTAAATCAACATGAGCAATGTTTATGAAAATTTACAAAAGAAAATATGCAATTTGAATGCATATATTACATTCACACATCACAATACTTTATACTTTCTTTATTAAATTTTGTAAATTCAGTGAAACAATCATCGGAAAAAATGTAACATTTCGTTTTATAGAATCGAATAAAGCCACGCCCATGTTATTGGAATTTAAAAAACTACAAGACAAGATTGTTTAGATAATTTATCAACCTTTGAATAAATATAAGAGGATACTAGAGAAACATATTCTAATATAACAAAGAGCTTAAGAAAATAAAAAGGGTTTTGACGGACCGACAACAAAGCAATGCTATAAAGGTTCCGTGTTTATCCTTTCCAGGTAAAAACCCTAGAAGCTAAATCAAGTCCATACTTGATTACTTGAACCTTTTATGGATACCTCAGTCAAATTAGTATTTTTTTCCTTACATTTTTGGTAGATATTCCGATGACAAATAAGTAAAGAGTTTATTTAATTTATAAGAAAATAAATATTTTTTTAAGCGAATAAATAATGTTAACTTTCAACTAATGGTTTTTACAAACAAAACGTCTCAGTTTTTTACTGAGAGATAGAAAGAGACAACAATATGTTTAACGCAAATGTTTATGTGAACTCATGATTATGTTTGTTTAATAGGTTAGCTGCTATCATCAGAATCGCTTTGTATTCGTCTAACATTTTTATTTTTCCTCTTAATAACAGGACTATCTGTGCTATCTGCCTCAATCTTTGTCTTTTTTACCGGTTTCTTTCGGAAGCCATTTCTCTTCTTTCTCCTTCTTTCTTCTAAGAGTCTCTCCGCTATTTCTAATTCCGTTTCCACTGTGGTTTGCGTTAATCCAACTTGTGAACTGACACAAAAACTGTCCTAAAATGTACAAGAAAATAACATAGCCAAAGTATAATAGCATTTTTAATTATTTTAATTATATAGATACTAGCTTTCGCCCGCGACACTGTCCGAGCAGAATTAAAAAAAAAACTTAATAAGTAAGCCTTTGTGTTCTGCCAGACTGTTCTACATCTGTGCCAAATTTCAGCGAGATCCATGCAGCCGTTACGGAGATCCATCTAAACATTCGTATTAATAATATTAGTAAGATTTATTTACCGCTTCGTATGCATCTTGTTCTTCGTCAAATTGTGATAATATTTCAGCTCTATCATATTGTTTAGGTAATTGTGGTATTTTAAATGTACCCGGCTTCACTGGACTCCTGGAATATCAGAGCAAGATAATGATTTATGAAGCAATTCAAATGTAATAAATAAAGACAGTTTCACCAAAGTCAAGTTTGTCTAAACATCAAGGAAAGAGAATAATATAAAAAAGACTGGATCTTAAGAAAAAAAAATGAAAAACGTTTAAAGTATACAAAGATATAAATAGTTTCATCAGACAGTCGCCAACTGCTTCGTATAAAAATATATTATGTATTTATTTTGTTATGACTTTTTGTCTTTACGCTACAATCTCTAGTAGCCAAACAAAAAAAAACTGGCATGCAGTCAAATAATTATATTCCCTAACCAATTATCGAATTTTGTACCAATGGATTCAAATTACATTTCACCAATGGGTACGAAATTAATTTCCTCGACTGCAAGCAGGACTTACTTGAGTGACTTAAGATAAAAGGCATGTACGTCTGCGTCATTCTGCGTCGTAGTTTCGTCGCAAATGAAATCAATAATACTTCCAACACTATCGTCTGTTAGTTCATCTCCGCTGTCCTGTCTACTGTCTGATAACTCTGCTTCTTCATCCAAAAACTCATTCTTTCTTCTTTTCTTCTGAAAATAATTAAAGACTTTCATATAGTTATAGAGCGGACATTACAAATATTTTACAATACATTTTGACAACTCTACGATAGTTTTAATACAATTGCAACATATTGTTTTACGAAATTGCTCTTGCCATTGCTAGTAATGAGTTTCTAAAATGTCCCAAGGTTTTCTACTTTACAAGTGAAGCTATAACACGATTCGTTAGTAATGTCTCGTGTAACTAGACCTGTTACAACTAGATAATAAGTCCGCGATTACTATTTGATTTACCAACGGTTTCTGAGATGAAAATCTATGTATAAAACATATCATCCCTGTCAATGTTTTTGACAAAACAAAGATATCAATATATTTTAAACGGGGATTACAGCCTCAGAAACCCACGGTAATTTGGTCTTATTTATATGTTGAATGTCTTTGTCCTAAATGAAGTTAAGAAACATTTTAAAATTAACTGAATTATAGATGGAGTACTTACTTTGCGAGCTTTATGATTTGTTATAGAGCTAGTTGTATTTAATTTGTTGCTATTTGATTTATGAATATATTCGACTGGATGTACAAAATCATCATCACTGTCACTAAATGTTAGTTTTCTTTTAGAACTTAGTCTTGAATTATGACTGTTGTTTAAGTTGACTTTAGAATTTTTGGCATCGTGTCTAAACTTTTGTAACTCTTCTATACCATTCATTTTACATTCTTTTTCGTCTTTTTCATCATCACTAATATTCTTTTTAGGTGAAAATATCCTGACATTTTCTTTCCCCGGAGAAGGAAATGATACGGCACAATATATGTTGCTGCAATTATTTGGTTTGGGGAAATTCATTTTATTCGATGTTAATGCAGCTAGTACTTTTTCTTGTAACGTTAGTTGACTTACTGCGGGTTTGTCTGATTTTGGTTTCTTATTAAAATATGGTGATGAACTTATAGAATCAGTTTCTAATAAATTTACATCCGTTTTAATTGTATCATTTTGTTCAATTTCTTTTATATATTTTTGTGAATCGTCTGATTCACTATCGCTATCTAGTATTATTAGAGATTGTGTTTTATTTGAATTTGGACCATTTATTTTCTTGACATCTGCGGTGATTTTAGATAACATACTTTTATCTGCTTGTGTTAACAATATTGGTGATGAATTTCTTTTATTTCTGTTCGATTCATTTTTATTATTTGAATTTGTTGATTTGGATAAATTACAATCAGTTTTGTTAATCAATTCAACCAATTGTGTTACAGTAAACATAGTTTTATTGGTATTATTTGATAAATAATTTGGAGTTATATCTTCATGATTGCTTGCATCAATAAAGGAATCATCGGTATTTTTTTTAAGTTTTTTATAAATAGGAGTAGAATTATCTCGTGTTATTTTCTTTGTATTTAATTGATTATTAAGAAATTGACTACATAATATTGGTGATGTTGGTCTTTGTTCCTGTTGTCCAGATAATATTGATGGACTTGTTGTATGGATGGATTGTAATATAGGAGACAATCTTTGTTCATTATCAACTTTTTTATCATCTTGTTGCAATTTCTCTGAACTATTTTCATCATAATCAGCGAATATGTCTTCTATACTATCCAATCCGAAGAATTCTAAAGTTTCTTTTGGATTATTTGATTGTATTTCAGTTATATTAATGTCCTGTTTATTAATTTCTTCAATTATTTCAGGACTACTGTCAGCAAAAATATCTTCTATATTACCAATATCAAAATTCTCTTCCGTTTTATTATTTTTGTTTTCAAAAATACTTTCCGTGAGTGTATCATTTAAAAAATCTGTACAATTTTGTACATCTATATTTTCTTGATTGTTATTGTTTTGACTAACTGTTTCAGATTTTTTATATTTCAAAATCGTATCTGTATTGACTAGTTCTAATAGTTTCGGTTCCGGTAACTTTAAATTTGCAAGATCTAATATTTTCTTAGATCTTTTTCTAGTTTTTCTCATATCTTTGAATATGGAACAATTACATATGTTGAGACAAATATGACATTTCTTTATAATATTTTTATTCTCTAAATTAAGATCAATAAGTAAATTGATCAGATTCATAGGCATGTTAGCATCTTGTAGACCTAAATCTTTTAATAACTTTGTATAATTTGTTGTTGATTTAGTAGATCCACTGAACAATGCTCTGATGTCGCCATCTTTTTTATTTGGTGATTTTGTAGGTGTTTTTTTGGTTTTTCTTTTTATATTTTTATCTTTTGACGGGGTCTGTTGCTTTTGTGTTTTGAAATCTAATGAGAATGCTGTAAACGAAATATTTAATTTATTAATATTATTTTAATTAATAACTAAATAGTCTGATTCGCTTGGAATAAAGAGATAAATATAGCTTTAAATTCTTAGTATAGGAAAGGAAATAGATTTTAGTTACTTTTTTTAGGACAAACCATAAGTGCTAAAAAATCTACAAGTTTTAAAAATAACCTATTATAGACAATATTTATATATTTTTTGAACTTATGGAAAATAGAAAATAATCTTACTTCTTACTTATATATAATATTATAAATGCGAATGTTTGGATGGATGGATGTTTGTTTAAAGGTATCTCCAGAACGACTGGATCTCGCTGAAATTTGTTATACATGTAGAACACAGCCCGGAAGAACTCATAGACTACTAATTTTTTTTAAATTCCGCGCGTATAAAGTCGCAGGCAACAGCTAGTTAAAAATAAATATAATACTAAATATAAACAAATATGTTTGTGTTTACCTGGATATTGAGTTGTTGTTAGTTGAGACTTCTTAGCGTCACAGTATTGTAAAAGTTCTACAAATGCCTCCGTGTCTCTCGAGTGACCAATTTTGACAGTTTCTTGTAAACATCTCTGACATTCTAACTTCGGCGTCACTCTGTCACTTTCTTTTGACTTTTCATTTGTAAAAAATGATTCTAATGGAGAAAAAGCACAATTTAATAAAAAAATGGAAAATATCTTGTTTGTAAGCAATTCGATTTTGACAATTTTACGTTTACTTGACTTTAATAAAATCTTACTAATCTTACTCCTTACTAATATAAATGCGAATGTTTGGATGGATGGATGTTTGTTTCAAGGTATATCTCCAGAACGGCTAAACGGATTTTGATGAAATTTGACATACATATAGAACATAGTCTGGAAGAACAAGCTCCTAATTATGTTTCTTTTAATTCCGCGCAGAGACGTGGGCGACTGCTAGTATAATTAATAAAACATTTTTTAATTAAATAATACCTCTTTTTAAACACCACAGTTCTGTTGGTTTATGTTTGTAATCTTGGTAAGAAAAACCAGATGGAAATAAATCTTGGAATTCAGCTTCTGTTATTAAAGAATTTTCATTTTCAATTGAATTAGAAGTAGTTGTAGATTGTCTTCCAAAAAGCATATTTCTTAAATCTTTTTGACCCTGGATAGTATGAAAAAAGAGATACAGAGTTATAAATAATAGACAGGGTGAGTCAGATATTTTTAATCGCAAACTCGAACTCTAAATAGCAAGCGCCCACTTGAATTCGTCGAAATGGCGAAACGACCGCTGCTCATAGATATCAGAAATTGCAAATGCCTTTATTGACAGGAGAGAAGACGTACAGAAAAGGAATATTTTCCGTTCCTATGCGTCACCCCGTCTGTCAAATCATCTTCCCATCTTTTCCTCATAAGAAAAAGGTGGAAAGGGAAAGGGGATTTACGCAATGAATTATAAATTGATTTGTACTTTTCCCGCAATTTTTGACAGATCAAGGTCATTGACATGCACATTTTATTTGTAACTACTGATCTCTATAAATGGACAGGCTGTTGCATAGAAATGACAGCTTTTGCCTTGTTCCAATTTGAAGGTACATGTTGATGTTTACGTGACAGAATAGAGATAGAATTAATTCTATCTATATTACGAGTTATAATTCACATCACCGCTACCATCAGCGCCAAAATGGCGGAAATCAAAAAGACACAAAACGCTACATCGTATAGCCCGTCCATTTATAGAGTTCAGTGTTTGTAACGAACTAATGTCAAAGTAATACAATATACCTTTTTATTTTTTCCCGTATTCTTGGCTTTATCTTTTGTATCCAGTTTGTGTGCAACTGTGATGTACATCTTCTGACAGTCCGGAGTAAACCCGTGCGGTATCATACGTGGGTTCAACTTGTACAGATTGTTTTCCACTTCTTTCGATTGTAAAATTTTCTTATTTAGTCCATCTCTTTGACGCATACAATCCAATAACGTCTGGAATAAAAAAAAGTAAGTTAATACAACAAAATAAAAGTGTTAAACAATACAAATATTAGTATTTAATTCAAATCATCATCATCAGCTCACTATACGTCCCCACCGAGGGTCTCGGAAACTAAGTTAAGGGTGATTAGGCCATAGTCAACCACGCTGGCCAAGTGCGGGTTGGTTGACTTCACACATATCTTTGAATTTCTTCTCAGATATGTGCAGGTTGCATCACGATGTTTTCCTTAATAGTAAGAACGTCGGATAAATGTACATATGTAAATTGAAAATCGAAAGACACATTGGTACATGGCGCGATTCGAACCCAGGACCTGCAGATTGCAAGTCAAGTCCTCCTGAGCCACCGACGCTATTTTTAATTTAATTCAAGCAAATGTATATAAATACCTGATGCTCCCTTCCTTCAGTAACCAATATGAACACTTGTCCGCCGCGCTCGCGACCTGTGCGACCACATCTGAAAAACATATTTAGACATCTTACTAATAATATAAATGCGAATGCTTAAATGGATGGATGTTTGTTAAAAGGTGAACGCCTGCAGGAATCTAGCCTTAACTTGGCATAGATATAGAACATAGTCTGGAAGAAAACAACACATAGAAGTCGGGAGCGACAACTAATTTGAACATATTTAAACGCAAAGTAATATAAAAAGGTCACGACAGACGGACGGACAACAAAGTGATCCTATAAGGGTTCCGATTTTTTCCTATGAGGTACGGAACCCTAAAAGTTAAATAAATCAAGTATACAGTAACAATTCAATGAAATAATTCTTTACTAATTTACGTAGTTTCAGTAATTTATTAGAACCTAAATACGAAAATTTAAAATATATGACCTTTGCACGAGTCGTATTGGCGAGCGTGTGGAGATATCAAAGCAGAGTATGAGGTCGACACTGCCCACATCCAGACCCTCCTCCGCCACGCAGGTGGCCACCAGCACGTTGCTCTCGCCGGACCTGAAGCCGCGCATTGCTCGCAGCTGCTGCTTCTGAGACACCATCGCCTTACCATCCTTACCTGTACAATACTTACGCTTTGAAGAATACGTAATGGAGGACAACAATAAAATTTTGCTCGTTTCAATTAAAAATGTTTGCTTTATTTATCGCTATCTGTTAGAAATATCTAAGAAAGATCTAATTATAACAAAAAAGTTGCGTAATTATTTTTTTTCCTTCGAATAAAGGAGCTTTTAAATTCTTGTGTAAACTTCGTTATTTAAATTAAAATAAATTGTTTTGCAATTACCTTCAATTTCTGTATTTTTTATTGAATTTCTTTTAAATTTACCTTTGACACATATAGTATTTACTTTGTAAGCTGCACAAGAAAGGTACGGAGTCAAAGCGATGTTGATTTTTTTTTTATCACAAGATGGCAAACGAGCGAGCAGCCAACTGAAATCGCTGAAATAGCGAAGTGACTGTTGCCCATAGACATATGCAATTGCATATGCGTTGCCTACCTTTAATCGAAGGAGGAGAGGATGCACAGAAAGAAAATATCTTCCCTTCCCATGCATTCTCTCAACCGGAAAGTCCACTTCCACTTCCCATCGTTTCCTTATAAGAAAAACGGTGGGAAGGGAGAAAGGAATAAATTAGGCCTCTGGATGCTTTAATTATTTTAGTATGAAGTAAACACTTTTTTTTATTTCAAAAATAAGTAAGTAATGTGCTGACCTGCAGCGCCCTGTCCGACGAACATCTGCGGCAGTATGAGAGGCCGGCACTGCAGCAGCAGGCAGTGCACCAGGCTCACGCTCTCGCGGTACTCGCAAAACACTGATTTTTATAAAAAATAAATAAAAATTACGTTACACTTATATTTCAAAGTGAATCTGCAAATTAACTTAAACCCCTTATTGAATTTATTTAAGTTAAATTTTCACTAAGCATCGAGGTGTGTAGTTTTCATTTGTATGAAGATTTCCACTAGGGCGACAATGATTGTTTTACAAAATAACAGCTAGGCGAGGACAGATACGTACAGCTAAATGCCTAGTGGAAATGAGAACTAAATGCTACCTATATAAAATAAAAGACAAATGACAAGTCACAGAAATGTCGATTAGATATTAAGAAATTAATTTATTAAAGTTGTTCATAAGATAATACCTATTGCCTTCGTGTCTTTCCCCTCTCGCTTTGCTCTTTGAAAATGTTCCAGCATTATATCTTTTAGCTTATAAAATTTTGGATGACCAAAACATAAATCTTTCGGCATCTATAACAAAATGATGTTATTATATTATTGAAATTCATGAAAAGTTCAAAAAAAAAATAATTTTACATATAAAATTTAACAAAAACCTAAATCTATAAATAATAAATGGATTCTGTATTGCATAACTGGGGTTTGAGCGTAGTGACATTTATGCTAATACTAGCGATCGCCCGCGATTTTGTCCGTGCGGAATTAAAAAAAAACTTTATTAATATCCTATGTGTTCTTCCATTATGTATGTTCTACATCTATATCAAATTTCACCGAGAACTAAGAAGCCTTTCTGGATATACCTTCAAACAAACATCCATCTATACAAACATTCGTATTTATAATATTACTAAGATAAAACTAGGTTTCAAGTAACAGTTAGGTTAATATAGTTCTCTCTTTTTTCAAAGAGAATGAAAGAGACAATATATATTAATAAAATTGTTACCTCAGGTATGGTACCATCAGGTAACAAACTTCGATCCAGTGACAATGGATTGATGCCCAGGTCATCACGCAGTCTTTCAAGTAACGCTGTCAGGCGGTCATCTGATTGTATCCAAGATTTCTCCGGATGTTCATCAAAGAAGTTGAGGAAGACACGAGAACCATGCTTCACCAGTAATTCCAAACCATGGTAAAGAGCTATTAGTATGGTAAAATCTTTCATTATGTAGTTGTGTTGTGGATGTCTGGAAAAAAAATATTAAATTTTCTAACTAGCGGCTCAGTTTGTACCAAAGTTACCTTGAATTATTCAAAGTGAAAAAATGTCTACTTATAAAACTTTATGGGGAGAAAACCTCAGCACGATCAATATCAGAAGTAGCACTAAATACACCACAGATAAGAAAAAAAAACTTTTTTTATATACAAAGTATTCATTGGACTAGTCATATCAACGATTTCTTTCAAATTTAACACAGAAAATACAAAAATGAATAAATTAAATTACTTCGTAAGTTATTTATGAAAAAAGGAATGCATATTTTTAAACTTTGACAGATGACAGTCCAGTCTTGCCTGTAGCGCCATCTATCAGTTTTCGGTTCACCTCATTATTTGTAAGTAATTGTTACTAACCTCGCGCCTCTTTCTTTACACTGGTACTCTTTGTACAACATTACGATGCGACCTTTTGATAAATTGCCAACATTTTGTTGCAGAATATTTAATTGTTTTAATCTTCTCGCATATCCATCAAGAATCTGGAAACATAGTTTACTAATACAAGCTTTATAGAAAATAAATTAAAAATGTGACAATTTTTTAGCACTTATAGGGTGTTATATCAGGTGTCACCCGCGACTCGATCCTTGCTGAGTTAAAAAAAAAAAAAGTAGCCTATGTGTTCTTCCAAACTATGTTCTACATCTATGCCAAATTTTAGCGATATACATTGAGCCGTTCCGGAGATACCTTCAAACAAACATCCATCCATCTTAACATTCGCATTTATAATATAAGTAAGATGTATTATAAACTTACAACTTACATCAACATATTGTTGTCTCAACTGTGTGAGTTCCGGACCTAACTGTACTATCACAGTACTAATCTTTCTAGAATGACTGTATGGTGCGACATCTATACAGTTCTCTGTACGTAATTCCAAATGAGCTATGTGTAGATTATTAACTACCTGTAATAAAACAATAAACATCTCTTTAAATTCATAATAAAAATATATTTTTTACAAAATAATTGAATGCTATTAATTGTTATGAAAGTTGGAGTGTTAGAAGATTGATAGAGAAGAATGTTAGAATTTTGGATCGTCGGAAAGTTGGAAGTAGTAGCTTGAGTAGTTAGTTGGATAATCAGTCTATTACTAGAAAAACTGATAGATATATATAGGTATATAATGGAGGTAGTAAAATGTGAGTTGCAGTCTAATGTCAAATTATATTATGGTTAAATTAGATAAAAACTTACAGTTATGACATCCTCAACTTTGCTACCCGGAGTAGCTGACAGAGCTAAAATTCTATAAGTCTTATGTCCCATATCAGTCAAAGTGGACACAATCTGGCAGTAAGCGTAGTTACCACGAGCTCTATGCGCCTCGTCTATAACCAGACAACGTATCTGATCGCCAGGACATATACCAGATTTGATATCATTATAAATAACTTGGGGTGTTGCAAAAAATACTCTTTTCGTCATCCAGTGAGCTTTTCGTGTATTCACTTGCATGTGGCCTGCAATAATATTTAATCACTGTATAACTTTTGTTCGACAGTATATAGTGACAGTGATTTTGTTTTTAAAAAGATAATAATCCACAATTCATTTTTTAAATAAAAAATTTCATACCAGTCATTTCAATAGTGTCTTTTGGAGGTATGGCAATGATGTTATAACAAGCATCAATCTGTTGAGCAACAAGGGGGCGAGTAGGTGCAGTAAATACAATTTTCCCAAGAGGATACCAGCGGTAAAAGTTATACATAATAACTGCAGCTATAAATGTCTTTCCAAGACCAGTTGGAAGACTTACCTAAAAACATAAGCAGAAATCAGATAATGTAATATTTAAAACAAAAAAATCTAAACAATGTTTCATGATGTTATTTTAATAATTACTAGTTGTAATTTTAATCAGCACTATCAAAGGTCAGATAAACTTTTGCAAGCTACTTTATATATTTAGATATATGTTTAGTTTTTAACTACATAATTAACTACTTATGTGCAAAATGAACTTTTTATATAATTAAGCTGTAAACAAAATATTAAGGGTACTTACAAGTGTATTTTTCAATATTGAAGCTTTTATGATATTGAATTGGTAATCTCGAACTGGATAATTGGTAGGATAGATCCATGTTCTCCCTGTTATTTTGTCATACCCACTGATTTCTTCATCACAACATAATGCACTTTAAACACAAAAAGAGAAAAGTAAATTTGTGACAAAAATTAAGTTGCTCAAAAAACTCACTAAAACTTACATCACTAAAACTTACCTTACATTCAAGTCATTGTTATTACTTGATTTATTAACATTTCCTTTGATGTCATCGGACAAAGAATAATCTTTGAAAGTGGTGTTTTCAAAATTCTCCAATAGGGAGGTAGTACTAAATGTATCATCTTCAAAAACATCACTGAGATCTATATCTCCACCAAAATTACCCATACTGTAAACTTTATTTATATTTAATATGTAATACGTAATTAATTAATAAATAACAATTACAATTAACAATCATAATCTTGTTGGTAACGTTCTATAAAGAAAAAAATATTTCGTCTACTCAGTACTTTTTAGGCACAGGAACACAAATTTATTCATATACACTATAACTTTAAGGAGCAATCAACTGTTTTTAAAATTAATGAACTTTATTTAATTTAGTTTCCTGTATTTAATATTTATGTACTATCCAATTGGCACTTGATTGCTCTACATTTGACAATTATTTGACATTGGCAATGACAGACGTAATTTTTTTTAATTTTATGACCTGATAACATAGACCTTTAGGACATTGACAGACGTAAATAGAGATGAAATCACAGAGTATACAGAACTGGTGGACATGCTAGCATTTATGGGCTTGGTGTACCATATAATTAATTTTTTACTTGAGAAAAGTTGAAGTAATCTATAATTCCTAAACAAAGTTTGTTATCAACATCGTTCGCCGCCTTCTTTTTGAATTATCTTCTATTTTGTTATCGGTAATTGTCAGCTGTCTGCTAAATGTCAATGTCCAAAACACATGTCCTGTTTGGTTTTGTATTTAGTACAGTTTTTACTTACCAATTACTGATAACACTTAAATAAATATACACTCACCCCGAAATTGACTCTAATCAAATGGAATTAGAAGATGGTTTTGATGATTTGTTAGCACAAATTGATGAGCCTACAATTTCAAAAAGGCCTAAAACAGAACAAGATGATTTACCGGGTAATTCAAATGTATTCAATAATGTCTATAATATTGCAATGTTTATTAAAATCGCTCCTTCGACTTGTAGTAAATATATATTGCTATTTTATTTCCAGGACCTTCAAAACCAAGTTCATCAAAAACACATTGTGTTTTAGTAAATCAAAAGCAAGTATGTTTAAAAAAAATGAAATGAATATTTTAAAATATAATTACACTATTATGTTTTTTTTCCTTTTAGCGTGGAAATCCCTTACTCAAGTTTATCACAAGTGTTGCATGGGAATATGATGAAATAATTCCAGATTATGAGATAGGCAAAACAATATGTATTCTCTTTCTCTCTACAGCCTATCACAATTTAAATCCTGATTACCTTAACAACAGGATAAAGGAATTGGGAAAGAAATATGAGCTTAGAGTTCTTTTAGTACAGGTAAAATAAAGAATGTTTTGCCATATTACACTCATAATCATAGTTTATTGTCAGACTAATGCTTTTCATCATATGTGGTCCACTGTTTTATTATCTAGTCAACAATCAGATAATCATTTTGTGATTTCTCATAAATTTAATTTGTTTACTTTTAATTGTATTAGGTAGATTTAAAAGATCCCCATAGTGCTTTGAAGAATCTAACAAGGATATGTCTTCTAACTGACCTTACGCTGATGTTGGCTTGGAGTCCGGAAGAAGCTGCAAAAATTATTGAGAACTATAAAATATTTGAAAATAAACCACCTGATCGAATTATGGAAAAAATTGAAAATGATCCACAACAAAAGGTAAGAATATTCTGTGTTTATATTAAACAATACATAGTAATGTTGTTTAGAAATAATTCCATAGATGGCGCTGATATCTATTATCTATGGATTTATGTCAGCAGTACTAGCTTGATTAATCAAGTTAACACTTTCCATGCCACAACTTTTTCGCATGTACTTGATTAGTTCATTATTATCTAAGTGAATAAAAACCATTGAATGTGTTAATTTCATCTTTTCTTTGTTACTCAATTTAATTTTTTTTTCAGATTATAAATGCTTTATCCAATATTAAGCCAGTCAATAAAACTGATGCTATGACTTTATTAACTAATTTCGGAACATTGGCGAATATAATAAAAGCAAATGAAAGTCGACTCGCCGATTGTCCTGGTTTTGGGCCCACAAAGGCGAAAAAATTATACAAAGCGCTACATGAACCATTCTTAAAAAGGGGTAATGTGATAGACAAGGAAGTTGAGAAGTCGGAAGACTTTGCTGAAGATTTAAATATGGATGAAATAGAGAAAGCGGAAAATGAAATAAAAAATGAATAGCACATTTTTATTTTAAAGCCTCTACCTGAAATAATAATAAGTAGTGATAAGATGCATGATTTATATCGTTTATAAAACACAAATAAATGATCTGTGATAAATTTATGTATTTTATTGCTGTATTTTATATTTTTTTTATTTATTATCAACAGGTCAGTTAGACAGTTTCTGGGAAATTGATGGTAAAAATTCGCCAAAATCATCTTTGCGTAGTAGATGTTTGCCTTTAATTTTTTAATGCAGCGATAAATATCCAAATACAGCATTGACACAGTTGTTTTTTTACATTTCTTAAAATTAGAAGTCAATGAAATAGCAAACAAACAGAGATCCGCATTATATTATTATAGTAAATCAGATTTAATCAGTAACTTTCTATTCGACACATACAACAGGATTGTTTTTATTTTTTTGTTTCAACGGAGCGTTTTTCAAGCATGCGAAGGCTCATGCGTCTTGCAGTGAGGCGGCCGCTCGCGGGTTTCAAAATAAAACAATCGACACGACAGCGTCGAACCGGCTTCCCTCGCGGCTGGACGCGCGTCGTGCCTTTGCTGTAATAATAAAAAAGCGGGAAAATTGAATTCAGTTTATTGTATTTTTTAATCTGTGCTTTAAATTACTTTTTTAATTAGTGATAACTTAGAAGAATTATGTGGACAGTATTTTGATTTACATTATTAATAAATGTTTTGTTATTTCATAAGTAAAATATATACAAACGGGCAAATACTAACTTTGCGCTATATTTAATTTGACTTTGGTGTTAACTAGTAAATGAATGTGTTAAAATATAAAATGTATAATAATTGTGCCTCTTAAGAAAAACTGTTTTGCCGGAGAACTTGAAAAGTGTTGAGGTGTAAAGACAAGAAAGTCTTAGGTAAGAATCTATTTTTATCATATTATAATATAATCGTATGAAAAAGTTTACTTGCAAAAACTCTTTGTTTATGTAAAATTACTGGCCGGTTGCATTCAGGTTACTGGCTAGTAAGAAGAAAAAGTTCTTATATTCTCCTTAAACATTTTATCTAACATAACGCCGATATAAAATAGTTATAATATAAGTTATTAGTACCCTTTTTCATTAATATTTTATGTACTATGTATAACAAGAGTTTTTTAAGCTCCTTATGCAATCCTTAACGGCTTTTTCTCGGTATTGACTAAATCTGGGACAACAATCAATAAGATAATCTTTAAATATTTCTGGAATAGCAACAATCAATTCTCACTAACTTGTTTGTTTCAAATGCTTACTCGTAATCTGAAACTTTGCTTTACTACTAGCTAATAGAGAATTATTAGGTTGATTACCTAAGTTATTTTAGGACACGTAATACGAATATATCTTTTCGCGTGTTATGTTAAAAATGACAATGTAAATTAAATAATGGAAGGTAATAAGGTAGGCTGCATATTGTAGTGAAGCGTACAAAAAGCTATAGTATTTTTCTTTAGCCAATTACCGACATTATTTCTAAGTCGATGCTCGTTTAAACCTGCGACTGAACAGGTGAACGAGGCACGTGCCCGATGCCAGGTGAAATAACATAACTTTTTTAACCAGTGTTGAATACGAACCATAAATAAATGATTCCATTATTCTTGTTTGTCTTTGCGAGATGTTTTGATGGGAGATATAAAACACATACGAGGTATTTGAAATCGACATAACAGCACATTGCTTGTTGCGCTTCTCTTTTTATGATTGGTAATTTTTATTTAGTATTTAAATCTGGAAACGATGAATAAACAGACTAACTTCAGGGAAATTTAGTTGTCTTAAAACTTATAAATATTGAACAAGATACTATGTAAGAGAATAACTATTGTTATTGTGTAAAACTCTTACGTTTAATCAAGACACGACATTTTAAAACCTTTAACAATGTAAGTTAAAAGTACCAATGTCACGTCATATTTTTTCAACGTCGACCATTTTATGACTATCCTATACTTTGTTACAGATACTTATATCAATCTGTGTAATTATCTCATACCTTCAAACAAGACACGGGCACATTTGCATGCTCAATTTAATGGAACTTGAAAAGCGTTTCATTAAGTAGTAGGTACTCTTCACTTTGCTTCGCTTTTTTCTTTTTGAATAAATGATTACTGGATAGTAAATAGAGAGCTTGTTTTTGCTTTTAACGATTTATTATTATATTATTCTTATGTACTATTAAGATTGGAATATAAATATCATGAATTTATCATGAATTTACATGTATATGCTATTATTTTTTTTCTACAAATTTAGATCTTGTAATTGCAACAATAATACTCTATAATATTGGTTTGAACTCAAGTATAATAAAAAACCGACGAGGTCTGTAGAAACATTTTTAAGCTTTTTCTACGCTTGGACAATTCTGTTGGTCAGCGGACGCACTTTGTCCACTTCGACATTGACTGATGATGTTCATTAACGAATCTACTTCGTCGACGTCACTGCGTCTTTTAAAATTTATTGAGAACTAGTTGTCGCCCGCAACTCCGTCCGAGTGAAAAAAAAACTTAATAAGTAGCCTATGTGTCTTTTCCGAGTGAGTTCTACATCTATGCCAAATTTCAAATAGGAACGTCAAACAAACATCCATTCATCCATCCACAGTAAGATTGCCTTGTCGTCTAATATGCGCCATACTGATTGTATTTTGCCACACTTGTTACTATGTTCACGCCACGTTAATCTTTTTGGTAACTATTGTAACTACGTCCGTGGTCATTTAATATATCCTGTACAGTAGTGTCTTTGTGTTTTCCTTAAATTATAGTAGAGTAGTTGTTGCCCGCGACTTCGTCCGCGCGGAACAAAAAAAATCTAGTAATAAATATAGCCTATGACGCCTAAGGATAGTGTAGCTTCTCAACAGAGAAAGAATTTTTCATATCGTTTCAGTAGTTTCCAAGCCTATTTAATGCAACCAAACTAACAATCAAATCTTTTCTAATGTTAAGTATAGATAACGAATATAAAATTAGTTTAGCGGTACCGATGTGTTTATGCGTGCAAAAAAGAAAAAAAAATAGGTAGAGTCGTCGCAATGTTTATCAAAATTGTTAAAATACTTAAAGTAGGAAAAAATTATGATTAATTAATTTTTTTCTTAATATTAAACAAAAACAAAATAAGCTGGCACAATAACATTATGCCATTGTTTTTATAATACCTATTTTATTGACGTTAATAAAGGTCAATAAAAATGTATAATTCATTTATAAACCTGGCATATGGATTCTTCTATTATATAGTTAGAGTATAGTAAATATAAAGAAAACGAAGTAATAATAATAACATAATTTCTTGGTCGCAATGGCGGTTTGACTCGTGCCTTGTCGTGGGTCGGCGCACGCGCAGCCGCCAACCGACTTGCTCCTTTTGTGTCACGTATCAAGCTTTACGCATTTATGTGTGGGTGTGTTTGTATTCTTGTTTATGTGTGAGTATTTTTTATTGATGGTGTAAAATCTTTCTTCTTGGTATGATGAAGATTACGGTTTTTTAATTAGCTATTTCGAATCAGTAATATCATGTTAGATTATTATACTTAATATAAAGTTAAAAAAAGTAAGTAAGTAAGTGGCCCTTTGTACCCATATATGTATGTATGCTACTGTTGGAGACTAAAGATAAAACCTTTGTAAAAGTAATAAAAGCAAACTAACATTGGGTACTCATATTTTAGAATTTTACGTTAAAACAATGTTAGGTATCTTTTTATGTTTATATTACCTAAGTATTTTTTACCTTGAACTTTATATTCAAGCTACTTGAACCCATGCGACGAGAAAGCTTTTAAGGTTATCACTTAAAATTATTTATTACTAATGGAGCGCTCGAGTTGTTTGACCTTTTAGCTTTATTGAATCTTCACACTTCAATTTTTTGTTCTGAGAGTTATATGAAACTAGTCCTTGAAAAGCTTCATCTTTTTTTGCAATGCTTTTATCTTTTCTATAGGTAAGTTATTTTTATATATTGAAGCAAGAGAGAGTAGAGCACGTTTGATAAAGACAATCTGTACTTTAACTTGTTTAAAAGAGTACAACACAAAATAGACGCGATTTTACGAATCTCTGTCTGGATTTTTCTATGATAAAACTACCATAAAAAGCTACCTACCTAATATTAACATTATTTATGTTAACTATTCGATGAATTGTAATGTGTCTAATGTAATTACCATATAAATGACGTATGAATGGGAAAAATTGTTGTTTGGTTATATGTACTTGACTTCAAAGATAAAACGCTAAAGCGTTTAGGACTACTTTACTACGTTACTTTAAAGACTGGATATCCTAAACATTGTCATATTTTGTTTTTTACTACAAATAATATACTTAAACGATGCAAATTGGCTATGACTATCCTATACTCTAATCCGGGGGTAAGTTTTTCGTAGCAAAAGAAACCTAACCTTTACAATTATGAGTATATGTAAATTAATTAGATTATCTTTTAAAATAGAATTTACGGTTCAATAAACTACATAAAAATACAGAGTGCTGTTTTAAAACGATCTCAAAGAACAGGTCGGGGAACACTCAAGGGGTAATTTTGGTTACCTCCTTGACTGGCTTTGATTTTAAACCCTACTTAAGTTTAATAATGCATGGCTTCAGTTCGTTATTCCTCTCATGCCATGACTATATTTAATTGAATGCTTCGTTTGTGTTATAAGATAAAAAAAACATCGTCCTAAATAACCTAATGTTGGTCAGTACGTAATATTAATAAAGATTTAGATGTCTAAAAGAACTATTAAAGTGGAGAACTCTAAGTGAATGGCTTGAACCGAAATCACGACGTTAGGTCAAGACCAGACGAGTCTAAATTAAATTCAGATCTGTTGGTTAGGTCTTTGGCCTGAACGAATAAGAACAATGAGCTTGAAGCAATATGTCTGTAGATTTTTATCGTCTACGGCTGTTTCGTTAATCTTTTATTACTTAATCTAACAATACGGATATTTTTTTTACATTACGTTTCTCAATTTTATATTTTTCTAAATGCATAATAGCATTTACGTAAAACTAAATATTATTACATTTGTAGAAACGTTTACGATTGCGTTGCAAGTTTTGTAAACATACGAAACCTGAATATGTCAGTTTACGCAAATGATATCCAGGAATTAACCTAGTTTTTTTTTTTAGTTTAAATCGATAGCTCTGATTTGATAGGTCGGAAATCTCGACATGTGGAAAAACAGAAATAAACTTGGTTTGCTTTGCTTTGTGTTATGCATACAAATAGCCAAGTGTAAACTTGTTCGATGTTGCTAAATACGTAACATCTTTAAGTCTTGTTTGCTTATACAATATTGTCGTAAATTACAATCAGTTGAAATGGGTATATTTTTACACGAATGTTATTATTCTATATTGATCACATGTTAAGTTAATGTGACATAACTCATAAAGCAAGCAAAAATGTATACTCATCCTTTAAATTTCAAACAGCAAACTGTCTAGACGATGACTATAGCAGGGACTTGGCGAAAAATCTTTTTATTAACAAACTTTTGATAAATACAGTAGTTAGTTTAAAAGACTGTAGTTATAAGGTCAAGAAAATTGTTAAGAACAAATCATGTGATACGTAATTCAAGCAGTTTGAAATAAACCGTTGAACAACTGGTTTCGCGGAAGCCGGCGCCGGCGCGCACGTGCAGAGACTGCATTCACATAACCACGGCCGCATTTACTTTATTACTTGCTTTAAAGGTCAATAT